CATCGGTTGTCGTAGAATACGGCGCCCTTGTACGACATTGTCTTGATCTGTACAAAAGACATAGAGCGTACTGCAATTCCCACGATTCCAATAAGGTCTTTGCAAGCCTTACTAGAGAAAAAGGCCTCAAAGAGATTCCATAGCTGTCTCAGAGGTATCTCGAATTCGCGTCCCTTCTCGTACATGTGAAGTGTGACACATCTCCGTGGGCAGTACGATCCTGAATTTGAAGGAACGATCTCGGAACTTTCGATTGCCAGTGCACGTGGGCAAACTGATGCCCATGCCTCAAAGATACAGCACTGGAGCGATTTTGAATTCCATGGCCTGACAACCCTCTGAGGGGCGAGCATGAGTGTGTTCCCAAAACTAGAGAAGAGGTCGGGGCGATACATGCAAAGCTAATTGAACCAAAATGACTACAGTAAGCAGCCATGCCAAACAGACCAACAGAAAGGCAGGGACCCGAGAGATGGAGTGACGGAGCAAAGAGATGCACTTTATCAGTGATCGGACGGCAGTCAAAGTTCGGCCAGCAAGGCGGAATTAACAATCCCAGGCCGAACCCATTTGTACTGAGGTGAAGAAGTAAACAGAACGCCAAACTATCCCAAGAGAGAACTTGAAACAACGAGGGCTAGGACAAAGGGAGTACAACAACCCCACTGAACCCCGTCAACTGAATCGAGAAGAATAAGAATAAGATGCAGTCCCAGCCCTTGCAAGACGACCTGTGGGCCACGTGCCCCGAGACATTCATGATCCCAAGCATTCCCATATTGAAACGAATGCCATAGACTTGGCAAAGTAAGGGCATTTACGATCCCATCTGACCCATTTTGGACTGAAGTGACGAGTCAAACTAAGGATAAAGCGGTCCCCAGTTGAGAAGGTCCTACCGAGGCTGTGGACAAAGCACGAAAGACTCCACTACTTTGGCCCTGACGGAAATTGAGAAGAACAGAACTTAATTCATACCGCAGATGGAGATTCTGACGTCCCAAATTGAACCAGATCTGAACCAAAAGGACACTGATGATCCAACGAAAGGAAGAATTAGTTAGTATCTCCAGGACTGCCTCGTTCACATCAGGAAACGAGGTTTGCAGAGCAAGTGGCACCTAACAGTGGCACCGTTTCCAGTCTCCACCGTAATAAGATCACCAACGTCTTCATACGAGTCCTTGACGTAGAGGAGAGCCACAATACAGCTGCCCGCGAAGATCTGAGATTTATCGTGTAGCCTCTCCTTTTTGGGGCAGACCTCAGGGCCAATGAACGCTTCTTTGGTATAAAACCTCGCGTTAAACAAGTGAATGTCCTTGGAGCGAAACGTGTTAAGCCCAAAGTGCCAGAGGATCTTCGTAACGTCCCTGGTGGTGAGATAGCCGTGCTCACCCAAAACTGGGATACTCTCCGAAATCAGTGGACCTTGATTGTCGATGATGAAAGGAGTGAGCTCCCGAACAGTAATGATTTGGAAGTGCTCCCCGACCTTTGCCTTAACGGTGTTCAGGCCTGTGAGCTGAGGAACGAAAACCATAATGTAGCGCCTTGAGCTGGTATGGTCAGTGCCGCCCTTTGGGGCGAAAATTGGGCATCCCGAGTGATCATACTCCAACTGTGACTTCAACACTGGAGGACCTATCTTGCTGATCCAGGGCTTCTTATCTTGTTCCCAGCTCTTTGGAGCCGGCTGTGACTTTCGGTCAGGCGAGTCGACTTCTGCTTCAGAGCCAGAGGAAGAACTCCTGGAGCCTGGAGATTCCGAGGACGGCACTTCCCAAGTAGTGCCGCCCGCTGGTTTGGCAGGTGTTTCCCCACGGTAGTCCTGCGTCTCAGGCAGAACATCATCTGAATCGGGCTTCGACCCCGACCCGCCGCCCTGCGGTTGTTTCTTGAACCCAATTGAGTACTGCATCTTCCTAGCAATCGGTGAACGGCTCCGAGAGGCAGAGTTTCCCCTGTGCACGGGCGCAGGGGGTGGGGTGGGGAGAATCCTTGCTTCGCGAGGGCCGGCGCTAGAGGATGCCTTGGCTTTGAGTTCCTGATTCTTGAACTCTACTGATCTCGCTTGGTCCTCTTTCTTCTGTTCGAGCTTCTTCTGCAACTTAATTTTCTTCTCATTCGAGGTGAGAATGGACTTCGCCTCCATCTTGACTTGACGATTGCGAGCCCAACGATCTAAGGCGTGGCGGTCGAAACCAAAGAAGAGAGGGATAGTTGGCTGAATCTGATTCCCAGTCCAATCCGGGTCCTGAGAGTAACAGGTGTCCGCGGTGAAAGTAAAGAGGCCCCAATGGGCGCAGTGCGATACCGAAGTGTGTCTGGATGCACCAGACCGAGCCGATGGCTACTGAAGGCGGAGGTGAAGCGGCTGCCGAATCCAATCGAGCATTTCTTTGGCGAGGCCCAAACGAAACTTTTTGTCCCGAGAACCCTGCGGAGAAAAGAAGGTGGTCCAGGCATCCTTATCATACCTGAAAACGTACCCCCTATGCGAGCGGGAGTGTGTGCGGCTGCCCCCAGAGTGGTCAAAGGAGCGATTCTGAATGACCCAATGCTTGCAATATTGAAACAGCCTCGACGAAAAATCTTCTGGATGTCTTTGCATGTGTGAAACCCAACTAATGACAGAGTCCAAATGGAAAATAGCCCAAGAAACTTCTTTGAACCCCTTGGTTTTACGATTTCTACGTAGACTGAATTGTTCTGGTGATTCCCCTGGGAGCCTTTTGAGTTTCAACATGATCCTGATACATTGATTCTGTGCCTTGGTAATCAAATCCGCCGTCGTCTTACAGGGAACCCAGGCAGCGCCTCTGGATCGTATAATCCCTCCCGCCATGCTGTTCAGTTTGGAGAGGCGTTTAGCCATGGGGATATGCTCGTTAATCAAGAATTTACTGTTAGCCCAAAGGAGGAGGAGGAGGAGGAGGAGGAGGAGGGTGGAACAGGCCTGCCCTTCTTACCTCCGCTGCTTCAGCCTGGGAACGTCAAGAACGCCACCTAGATAGTCTTGGAGCCTGCCGTCGCCGAGATCGGGCCAGACGCCAGAGCCATGGGCGCTGCCCATCAACTACGCGGCAAACCGTTTCCATCCAGATCCTGCTCGGGCACCCCTCAGGCCCCAAATAATTTCAGCGTGCAACGCGCAAAATAAAACATGCTGTCTCAGGCTGTCTCTGACAAAGGCCTCGAGTCGACCAACGAGGCGCCCGACTGATTCAGAATACACGGCCAGCATGTGTGGTAACGGCCCTCACGAAGGATCTGGCAGCCTGCTGGGCACGCCATGCTAACGTATCGGCCAGCCTGCCCGTCGACCCCAACTACCAAACGCAAATGGGACGTGGGTGATATGCGAACGAAGCCCCTGGCGGCGCATCCGGGCGCACAGCCGAGCCACCCCCCCTCCTCTGGTTCATCCAAACCCCTGCCCCTGCTGCTGAGCATATGGCGCGGCCGTGCCACTGTGCAAACAAAAAAAGTTGCCCTCCACCCTCGATCTCGAATCAGATGATGTCCGAGCACTGCAGGTCCACGCCCACATCCTCGTCGGAGCCCGAGTCGATCGTGACGCAGGAAGCCTGGACAATGCCCATGGGCAACGCACATGAGGCTGGATTTGAAAGAACACACGAAAGCACGCGCATACCCCTTCCCCGCCCCGACCAAAAGCAGGGCCGGCAGGGCCGTCCCTGACAGCAGCCCCCCCCCCTGCTGCGCTCACTCACTGTGGACACCTGGTGAGCCTAGTGTCGCCCGCACAGTTGCCCCCTGCCCTACTGACCTCCTTCCTACATCCCTCTCCTTGCCCGATGCGTCGTTACTGCCTCAGGTCAGCCCCGTGATGCGTGCAACGTGTGGGCCTGTATGAAGTTGACGCTCTCATTGCGCCGACCCCCGCCACCAGGGCCGAACGTGTCGCTGGAGCTGATCGCTTCGATGCCCGCTTCGTCGAATGCTCGATCCCAGCTGAAGCCTTCGATCTGTGCGTCCAGCCTCTCCAGCCTGCTACGCAGATACTCCATCTCCATTGCCTGGCGCAAGAGCGGATGTGATCTGGCGAACAAGTTGAAGGAGGTGGAGGCGGAGAACGAAGGCCTCAAGGGTTGGAGGAAGGAAGAGAGGGAGTTCATCTTACCCCGACTTCCACATACCCCATCCTACCTTCCACGTTGCCCTTCCCCTCCTCCCCCTGCTTTCGGCCTCGGCGTCCTGCAGGCCCAAACCCAAGTCAGTCATGCTGAAGATGTCGCGCTCAGGACTAATCACGACGTCGGACTTTAACATCATGTTGGACATGCAGTACATAACCCACGCACCCATGATTGCCAGGTGCTGCCCATTACCAAGGAGCCTCTGTATATCGTCATCCGCCATGCGGTCAAGCTTGTGAAGATGAGGAATGGTCGACTTAGAACGACCGACAAAGGGGCCACATGCCAAAGACGGGATGCCCATCATGAGACAGCACTCCTTGGCCGTAGCTGGCCGTTGGTGTTTGAACGACCAGACCGTCGCATGCTTGGTGGGGGAGCCAACGATCGGCCCTGTCATGGTGAACTTGGGCCACTGGTCGAGGTCCCCCATAAACGTTCCTAGGTCGTCTCTACATTCGCGCATCGCGCCCAGTGGTGCTAGACTCCCCCCAACATGTTTCTAACGCAATAAAAACATGTTGGCGCATTGACACGTCTCCCTCGTCTGCGCCGTCGGCTACGCCGTAGTTTGAATTGGTTATCTTCGCGCCGAACCGCACGGAGCGCGATTATCTTCGCGACCCCAGGTCCCTAGAAGTTCGTGCAGGAATACGCCAACGTGCCCCTCCTCCTCGGCCATCTCATCCTCCTCCTCCTCCTTCTTCGCCTCCCTCATCCTCTCTCTCTCTCTCTCTCTCTCTCTCTCTCTATTTCTCTTTCTCTCTGTATGTTTGTTTCTCTCTCTCTCTCTCTCTCTCTCACTCTCTCCCTCTCTCTCTCATTTCAAGCCCAGTCTCAAGTCTCAAACAATCCTGATAAACCCTCGCGGCCGCACTTCGTGGCCTCCAGCGCGGTCAGCCGGGAGCGCTGCCCCGGCGTCAGCACGGCCTTCCAGTCGAAGTTCTTCAGGTCCACGTCGTCTTTGACGAAGTTCCCACGGCGAGCCAGCCGCTCTCGAAGCATACTCAGCACCCCGCTCTCGGAGTCTATGAAGAAGGTGTCGCTGTCGCAATTGGGAATCAGGCAGCCGAACAGGGAGTCGAACTCGGCCTGGACATCATCAATAGACTGCGGCCCGCACCACACCGCCGTCCTGGTGCTCAAGCCGAAGGTCAAGCACCGATCCCTGGACAAACCCCAGCCACTGTTCAACGGATTCGCCTTGATGGTGAAGATGCGGTGTGAGTCGTGCAGCTTGGCGAACTTCCGCCAGTATGGAAACGAAGCAGAGTTCTCGTGGAAAAAACCATCCTCAGCGTACTGTTCAGCAAGCGCCAGGCGCTCTACCAGCCAGATATTGTACGTGCGGCAGCTTGGGTGGCCGTCTCCTGCATGCCCCCCCCTGGGGCTAAAGCCCGCGCAGTCAGTCCCAGCAGCGTTGATAAGTAGAGGGCGAGGAGAAGGATAGCTGGGCGCAGTGTAGGACTGGCATGGGCGCATGTCCGAAAACGTGTTCTCCGAAATCCGTTTCTGTGAATGTGTCCATTGGTCAACCCTGGCACCTGACATAACGTCGATGAAAGATGAGCACCTGTTGAACAACACATGGCGGTGCTTAAACAAGAACTCCAACTGACAATCGTGGGTATACTCATTGACACCATGTTTTTCCTGTATCTTGAACATAGCGTTGTAAGCCCAATCCGGCACTTTATGGTGAACATCAGCCATCAATGTCTTCGGTTGGTGCAGCAAGGGCCTGGACATAAGCAGCTCGTGGACCAAAGGGTCGATGTCACACGCGCGCACCTTCTGGACCACATCCCTGACATCACCCCTGAATGAGTAAACGTGTGTCCAGCCATCGGACGTCAAGGACTGCATGGACTCAAGATGGAACTGAATGGTGTCCTCAGTGCACATCCAGCCAGTGTAATCAGTGCTCAACTCCAGGCCGTGCTCCAAGAAAAGCTGGAGCCTACTCGAATCCCCGGCTGAGACTCAAAGAAAGGAGGGCAGGGCAATTCGGAGGACGTGAGCTGACCAGGAAAAAGGGATGGGGAGGAGGAGGAGGGCCAGGGAAAAAGGAGGAGCGATAATGGAGGGCAAGGCTCACTGGGGCTGCGGGGGAGGGGCGGGGGTGGTTTGCCGTTGGGGGGATGTGGAGGAGGAGGAACCAAAGAAAAACAAACGTCAGATGCGCTGACCAGGAAAAGAAGGAGGAGGAGGAGGAGAGCCACGACGAGGAAAGGAGGAGGAGAAATGGGCGTTGAGGGGCCAGATGAGGAGCACGGGTCCGCCCTCCCCGATGGAACCTGGAGAGACGCCCTGGCGTCGATGAGAGCTTGTCCACGGTGACATCTGGATACCGAAACAAACCCTCAACCGTGGAAGGGCCAGGCTGCCAGCCCTTCTCCGCGCAGTCTGTGGCGCGCTTCAGCGAGCCAGCCTCTCCAATGACCCCTTGGGCTGACCCGGCGCCGCGGGCGCGCTGGGACCTCAAGGGTCGGGCTGGGCTTCGGGTCCGCTGCCTCTTGCACACCACCGACGCCATGGGGGGACTGCCGCAGGTGCGGATGGGGCGGGGGCCGAGGGCAACCGGACAACCTGGCACCTCTTCTCGGGCCTACACGTGCGAATCACGAGCGAGCCAGGCCGCCCTCTCTCGGCAACAATGCGGGCTCCCACGCTTCCTCATCCTCCTCCACTCCACCCCCTCCTCGTCCCTCTCTGGCTCCCTGAGTCGAAGACCCACCCATTGTGTTGAAGGGGGGCAGCCCATGAGGTGTGGGTGTATAGATATGCATACATAATCACATGCACATACAGAAGCATACACATGCACATGCAAATGCACACCAAAGTCAACATACGCATGCACACACACATGCGCCATACACACTGGCATACGCATGCAAGCTGAACGCGCACGGTTTGCGTAAACGCGCACACGTGCACATACAAACAAAACACATACACATACCTACATACACACATACATCCATACAGTATTGACCATATTCATATCCTACTGGCCTTGGCCCGTCCAGCCACCGCGATGCCAGCGTGCCTGGCCTGTGTACCAGAAGCCCCCTCTTATGTTTATAACGTGCACCCCCAGGTCCCAGGCACCGCGGTATGTTTGCTTTGCTTGGGCCATTCTGCGTCAGTTCGGTTTTGGGCCATGTGATACGTTTGCTTGGGCCATGTTGCGTCAGGTCAGTTCTTGGCCCTGTGGTACGTTTGCGTTAGCAATGTACAGTCAGGCTGGTGTGGGGCCCTGTGGTACGCTTGCTCGGGCCATGTTGACTGGGCTGGCTGGGGCCCTGTGGTCTGCTGAAAACGTTCCTTCCCATTTTCAACGGAAATGTGACAGAACGCTTCCAGCATCTTAAATTGCTGAGGATAGTATGGGGAGGAGGAAGGGGAGGTGGTGTTCCTTTCCCTCCCGCGGATGCCCTCTGTACATGCATGGTGCTTGTGGGGTTTAAGATGCCGAAAACGTTCTTTCTCATTTTCAGCGAAGATCGGAAAGAACGCTTTCGGCATCTCAAACTGATGGAGATAGAATGGGGAGGGGGACGAGGAGGTGGTGTTCCTTTTCCACCCGCGGATGCCCCCAATGGCCACCTCAAGGGCCACCTACCAGGTCGCAAGCCTACAGGGGGACCGATTAGGTCGCACAGCGCGCACCTCAAAGGCCACCTAGCAGGCCGCAAGACTACAGGGTAACTAATTAGGTCGCGCACCTCAAAGGCCACCTATCAGGTCGCAAGGCTACAGGGTGTAGGTCGCGCACCTCAAAATCCATCTATCAGGTCGCAAGACTACAGGGTGACCGATGAGGTCGCGCACTTCAAAGACCACCTATCAGGCTCAAAAGCCACCTCATCATGCCGCAAGACTACAGGGTGACAGATTAAGTCGCGCACCTCAAAGGCCCTGCCCTTATCAGGTCGCAAGACTACAGGGTAACCCAACAGGTTGCGCACCTCAAAGGCCACCTATCAGGTCGCAAGACTACAGGGTGACAGATTTAGTCGCGCACCTCATAGGCCACCGACCAGGTCGCAAGACTACAGGGTGACCGATTAGGTCGCGCACCCGAAAGGCCAACAACCAGGTCGCAAGATTACAGGGTGGCCGACCAGGTCAATCACAAGACTACAAGGTGACCGGTTAGGTCGCGCACCTCAAGGGCCACCTATCAGGTCGCAAGGCTACAGAGTGACCGATTAGGCCGCGCACCTCAAAGGCCACCTACCAGGTCGCAAGACCACAGGGTGCCCGATTACGTAGTGCACCTCTGAGGCCACCGACCAGGTCGCAAGACTACAGGGTGACCGACTAGGTCGCGCACCTCAAAGGCCACCTTTCAGGTCGCAAAGACTACAGGGTGACCCATTAGGTTGCGCACCTCAAAGACCACCTATCAGGTCGCAAGACTACAGGGTGACCGATTAGGTTGCGCACCTCAAAGGCCACCTATCAGGTCGCAAGACTGCAGGGTGACCGACTAGGTCGCGCACCTCAATGGCCGCCTATCAGGCCGCAAGACTACAGGGTGACACATTTGGTCGCGAACCTCAAAATGCAACCTATCAGGCCGCAAAGCTAGGAGGGTGACCGATTAGGTCGCGCACATCAAAGGCCACCTAACAGGCTGCAAGACTACAGGGTTACCGATCAGGTTGCGCACCTAAAAGGCCACCTACCAGGTCGCAAGACTACAGGGTGACTGATAGGCCGCGCACTTCAATGGCCACCTATCAGGTCGCAAGACTACAGGGTGACCGATAAGGTCGCGCACCTCAAAGGCCACCTATCAGGTCGCAAGACTACAGGGTAACCGATTTAGTCGCGCACCTCAGAGGCCACCGACCAGGTCGCAAGACTACAGGGTGACCGATTAGGTCGCGCACCCCAAAGGCCAACAACCAGGTCGCAAGATTACACGGTGGCCGGTTGCGTCGCGCATCCCAAAGGCCAGGACGCAAGACTACAGGGTGACCGATTTGGTCCACCTCGAAGGCCACCTATCAGGTCGCAAGACTGCATGCAGGCAGACCCATTAGGTCGCGCGCCTCAGAGGCCACCGACCAGGTCGCAAGACTACAGGGTGACCGATTAGGTCGCGCACCTCAAGGGCCGCCTTTCAGGTCGCAAGACTACAGGCTGACACATTTGGTCGCGCACCTCAAAATGCCACCTATCAGACCGCAAGACTACAAGGTGCCCGATGAGGTCGCGCACCTCAAAAGCCACCTATCAGGTCGCAAGATTACAGCGCGACCGATTAGTAAGTCCGCGCACCTCAAAGGCCACCTATCAGGTCGCAAGTCTACAGGTTGCCCGATCAGGTCGCGCACCTCAAAGGCCACCTATCAGGTCGCAAGAATACAGGGTGACCGATGAGGTCGCGCACCTCGAAGGCCACCTAGCAGGTCGCACGACTACAGGCACTACAGGGTGACCGATTAGGTCGCGCACCCCATAGGCCACCGACCAGGTCGCAAGACTACAGGGAGACCGATTAGGTCTCGCGCACTGCACCCCAAGAGCCACCTATGAAGTCGCAAGACTACAGGTGACCGATTGACCGATTAGGCCGCGCACTTCGAAGGCCACCTACCAGGTCGCAAGACTATAACATGACCGATTAGGTCGCGACAGCAGGCTGACACATTAGGTCGCACGCCTCAAAGGCCACTTATCAGGTCGCAGGACTGCAGGGCCGCGCACCTCAACGGTGTTGAGCCAACTCTCAAAGGCCAAAGGCCACCTCCTATCAGGTCGCAAGACTACAAGGTAACCGATTAGGTCGCGCACCTCAAATGCCACCTATCAGGACCTATCAGGTGGCAAGATTACATATCAGGCCGCAAGACTACAGGGTGACCGATTAGGGCGCGCCGCACCTCTCAAAGACCACAGACCAGGGTGCCTGGCTAGGTCGCGAACCTCAAAAGTGTCAAAGGCTACCTTACCTACCAGCCTGGCCAGCCTCTAACCGATAGGTCGCTCATCAAGGGCCACCTACCAGGTCGCGAATGGCAAACACTACAGCACTACAGGGCGCGCAGGGTACTACAGGGCGACCGATGGCAACGCACCCCAAAGGCCGCATATCAGGTCGCAAGACCATGCCACAGGGTAACCGATTAGGTCGCGCACTTCAGAGGGCACCTTCCTGGTCGCAAAACTGGCAAAACTATTTTATCAGGTCGCAAAACTAGGATATCTGATTTGGGTGCCATCGCCAGCTCAGCTCAGCGGCTCAGCGCAGCGCGTTCGGCCCAGCTGAGCTCACTTAGCCACTTAGCCTGTAGCCCTGATAGCCAGCGCTGGCAGCGCGGCGCAGCGCGGCAGTGGCAGTGCTGGCAGTGCCCGCGCCGGCCCGCCTGCCGCAGCCAGCGCGCCGCCGCTGCAGCGCAGCTGGCCCAGCTCAGCTGGCGCTGCGCTGCCACAGCGCCAGAATCAGACTCCAGACGCGACGACAGGCCAGCGGCCTGCTCGCTGCTTGCCCACTGGTCTGGCCACTGGCCAGCTGGGCCAGCCGCCTCGCTATCATCGCCGTCAGGCCCCGACTCGGCTCCGACATCCGCATCCGCGCTCGTGCGGCTGGCAGCCTGGCAGGCACTGGCAGCCTGGCAGCCAGGCAAGCAGTGGCAGGCAGCCCAGCGGCAGTGGGCAGCAGCTCGGGCGTCCGGTGGCCCAGAAGCCCCCCTCCACTCTCGTGCGCAGCCATGAAGGCCCACTTGCGACCATCGAACACATCTGAGAACGCGCCAAGCACGCCGCAATCTGTGAAAATCTCCAACAATGCAATAAATGCACAAAAAAAAAACAGCGAACTACCGAAATCTTACAACAAAGCACGAAAAACGCAAAAAAAAACTATAACAACCAGACAAAAACACAGAAAAACTTCAAACACATCAAGAATCACGCAAAACATC